GATACTGGTTTAACTGTTGCGAAACTTAATTAATAATATATAGATCAGTTTTCTGTACATTCTTTGAGAGTTCTTGTTCAAAGCCAAGGAAATTCAACTTGTAGCTCTTACAAACTTCTAATCTACATAGACACAAATTATGGAAAAATAAATACAAAGGCTGAACAAAATTATATTTTGTGTTAATCAAATACTTATTTTGATTACATAGGGAGATTTTCTTTAATTTTCCTAAATAATTTAAGATATTACCTTAGGGTTACTAATAATAGAGTTTATAAAATATTCATTAGAAACATATGAAAACTGGAATATTGTCCTTTAATCTGCATTTTTTGTTATAAATAAAAGTTTTAATTGTTTTTCATCTTATTGCTATATGATATTCACAAGTTTCTTACAGATAGACCTGGGGTTTGAATGCCTGCAAAACCAGTTTTGTGGTTCTATTTCTTTTTCCTTATACTTTTAGTTTGCCTAAAGCAAACTTACTCAGAGGATACAGTGTCAAGAAATTGTGGAATTTGGGGGTAGAACACTATGAAATATTGATAAACTCATCTTAATTTATAAAATAATTTCTTTCCTAAGAAGATATCATTTCTTCTAGTTCTGTTTTATGTAATAGTAGTCTATTTATATAATACCCAAGTTACTATACCAAAGAGATTCATAATTGTATCAGGATAATAGAGTGTTATAAATGTTAGCTTACATAATATATTCAATATGCAATCTGGCAAAAATCATGTTATTAATCATGTTTTTAGATATTATTATGGCAAATATTTGTTCATTCAACAGTTTTCATTGAGTAATTACATGCTCTATTGTTAGGGATAAGGTGAAGAGCAACAGATAGTCCTCTCCACTTGACAATTTCACTTAGAGACAAATCAACATAGAAATTAACATGTGGCATGAGCTTTAATAAGAGTTGAAGAAAAGGATAGAGAATTTACAGTAAGAACATAAAACAAGAGATAAAAATTTGTTTGGGGGGATCAAGAAATAATTCCCTTAGAATGGTACAGTGTTTTTGTTCAAGACATCTCCATGATGAATTGTGGTAAACTCAGGAAAGAGTTGGTTGAAGGAAGGGGAACCAGTGTATGAGGAGAGAAAGCAAATTTGTGAAGCCCAGGGGCAGTGAAAAATTGAATACATGGACAGAGTCTGGAATTTAGAGACCAATGGGAATTTTGATGAGAAAGGGCCCACAGAGGAGAAGGGCCAAGATGTCTGTGGTATACATTGTGATCAGGGAATGTTCCATGGCTCATATTGTGCTAAGGGAGTGGTAAACACTCTTTGGAGAGGGGAGCAAGGAAGTAGAACAATGATTTAGCTTTTCCTTTTATCATTTTCATTGATTTCTTTGCAGAGAATGGATTGCAGGAGGCAAGATGGAGAAGAGGTGGAAAAAACAGTTTTGCTAAAAAGGATGGTAACTTAGATTGGGTGCAAAAAATTGAGATGAAGAGATGTGGGATGACACAAAGGAGACTCTCTAAGTCAAATAGCAGGGTTTTATGGAATATTGAAATAAGGCAAAAGAGGATGTTGACAAATATGTTGCTTATACAACCTACTGCATGGAGCAGTATTTCCTGAGAGAGGATATTGAATAAGAATGGAAGGGAGATTAGAAACACAATTTTGTACACATTGCAGTGAAATAGTCCCTGTACATCTATCTGAGATGTCAGATAGAAAGGTGTAGGCATGAGGCCAGAGGTTGGGGGATGTGTAAGTTTAGATGCAAATCTGGAAATATAGTTTATGGATAGCAACTACAACCATGGAATCTGATTACTGTACTTTTCAGAATTTGAAATTGAAAATAGTAAACAGTTAAAACATGAAACATCTTCTCTCACGTCACTGTGAACTACAATAATGTAAATATTACTCTTTGGTTTCTTTATTGCATATGGTATTTTGGACAAAATATCCACCTTACACATATGAATATCCAGGAAATCACATACTTTCTAACCCAAGTTTGGAGAGGAAAGTAGAAAAAATAATACCATAAATCAGCAACCTAACTAAACATATTCTTATTCTATACAGTGATCAAGATAATAGAGTACAGATATTTGTTCATGATGGGACACTATAGTGGGGTTGGTGTAGTGTAGGGTGAGTGAGTTAAATATTGCATTTTGGCAGTAAATTTTCTTTATTTCTGTATTTCTGCTACATTTCTCCATGTGTAGTAAGACCTTTCTAGAATTCTGAGATGGGGGAAGCTTTCTGCTGAGTTAACTCCATCTGTAGTTCTAACAACAAGTTTAAACAGCTTAGCTCCTCATTCTTGCTGGAACAATATTTCTAACTAGCATAAGACCAAATGAATAAAAAGAAGGAACAAACCCCTTTTTGTATATAGGGATTAAATCATCAAGAAGTCAGAATAGATAAAAGAAAATACTAAATATTAAATATGTCATTTTGATGATACAATAATGATCTGTGTAATAAAAGTTATTATTATAAGATTTAGATATTGTTGTACACATTTATCATCATAAGCACTATGTAGCTTTCCTAGATGTGTAGTCACAGAAAAAAAAGTTGAATTCACTTTTCTGGTTATTTTGCATATATTTGTGAATTACAAAAAATTTCCATACAGTATTTTACTTTGGAACTACTCTCTTTTCTGGGAAATGAATCCTCCTCTTACCATATATTAAATTGTTATTAAAATAAAAAAGTAGTTTTTATTTTCCATACTTATAGATGCAGAATTCCATAAAGCACCATGATTCCAACAGTAAAGATTATTTGGGTTGGTACATGTGTTATTTTCAGAATTCTCATCACTTAAAAAAATTTGTGAATTAAAAACAATGAAATATATTCTAAAGTAAACTAAGTTTAATCAATGTTTTGTTCCTAATTGAGCTACTAGTAATTTAGTTTTATATATTTAAATGTATTATAATCCATTAAATCAGTAATTCATTAGTATTTTTAAATCCTCCAACTCCTATGAAAATCTTCATAAATTGTTGATGCCAAACATGTGTCACAGACTTACATGTGCTAACAGCAAACTATTTTTGTAAATATGAAACATTAATATTCCTGGAAGGTCGGATATTTCCAGGTGATTTGAAGATTCAAAGTTTCATGTATCTGTATATGCACACACATATATTCATATGTACATATATAATGTTTAAAATATATACATAGATTTTATATATTTATAAAATCATCATATATACCTGTACATACACATATACATACAAACATACACATATATATGGTATATTTTTTTCCTGAGCTGACTCACAAAATATCACTGCTTTTAAAGCAGTAATTAGAAAATGTTTGACTAAATTAGTTTCCTTGAAAATATATAAGGTGCATTGTTAAGTATTTATGAACAGTTTCCCTCTCCCTCAAATCACTTATATCTTTTCAACTGAAGACAATTTAAAACCCTAAAAAGTCTTCTTTTAACAATTCAAAAATTATAAGTATCACGTGAATGGATAGGTTCATAATATTCATAGTATTCAGTTATAATTATTTTGAATAAACTTTGATTTAGATCTCCTATATATAGAAAACTTTGAACATACTTGAAAATTGAACATTAAATTTCTTCTTTTAATATAATAATCTAATATTAAAGGTCTTACTATCACACTAAAATACATCATGATTCTTAAATTTAAAATAAAAATCCACATCATTCATAATAATATAATTATAGTTAAATTTTCTGCATCTCTAAAATCACATTTGTCAGCATAAATAGTACCTACATATAGTATTTTGTTTCATATATTCTTTTAAAACTTGTTCAACTTTATAATACCCTGCTTCAATTAAATGAAATTTGGAAGTGTTTTATATTTCTAATTTGTTCTTGATAGTTAATATTTTATAGCATATTCATTATCCCTTTGCTGTACTTTTTCTGTATTTCTTTTTTGATAATGTATTCTGATATCATATGAATCTAAATGCAAATCCTTTCATATCCTCATTATATGCACAAACTAGTAATGATATAGTGTAGAATAGAATAATAATGACTCAATTCATTAAAAATGTAAAAATCAAGAGTTTATGTTGAAAAGATTTTCTATGCCTTCTAAGTAGCAGAACACTTATGAAGTACAATGTGAGAAATAAACTAGATATAAATGTTCATCTGCTTACTAGACATCCACACTTCTAATAGTAAGCCAGCAAATCACAGCAGCAGAATGCAAAATGGATCAGCAACAGTTTTAATTCTAAGACTTACTCTGAAAAAAGGCAAAAGCGAACACAAGTGGGCTGGGGGTCTGGTTGTGCAGCTCAGTGGTAGAGTGCTTGCCTGGCATGCACCTGGTACTGAGTTCCATTCCCAACATCTCCAACAACATTAACAAAAAAGTTAACAAAAAGTATAAAGACAAAAAGAGAAGTTGGCATAAGGAATAGTAACCCTGTCTGGGGGTGGAGCAGAAGTAAAATAATGCTATTGTCCATTGGCCTTGCTTTTTGTCCATCTCATTATTTCTGGAATACAGATTCAAACCACAGGGATCCTAGATAATAATGCTAACGCTAAGTCAGTTACTAAGTGAGTATATAAAATGCAGTTTGATGATGTTTAAGGCCAATTTAAACTGACACCAGATAATGGGATGATTGATATAATTTAATGACAGAAGATGATGGAATAGCAATATAATACGAGAAGTAAAAGAATCATTCCACTTGGAGATTTGCCAAAATGCATGTGTATTCAGTTTTTAGTTATGAATGAAAATTAGTAAAAGGAAAAAAATATATAGTTACAGGTATGAACCAACAGAAATTAACGACCAAACTTTTAATGAGATTTTGACTTGGTTAATAAAAGTCAGGCTGAAATTTTACTCAAATTTTCAACCTGGAACGTTTTAGACTTACTAATTACAAGAGAATAAGAGGATAAATGAGTGGAAATTGGAATGTTCCAGATGCCCCAGGGGGACTTACTGTACCTGTGTCCACATCCTTCACCTGTTGCCTGGCTGGAGTTGGCTGGCTCCACTTTGAGCTCTTGCAGGACCAGCCCCTTTTCATGTGGTCCAGGAAAGTCCATGCCTGGCGCCACCTCCTCCTCTAGGGACTCCACGTAGAAAAGAGTCCTGGCCGGCTGCTGGGTGCCTTGTCCAGGAGCCCCTTGCTGCAGCCTGGTAGCAACTGGGAGCAGGGTGCCATTCAGTGGATTGAAGGAAGAGGAGGAAGAGGATGGGGAGGATGATGAAGAGGAGGAAGAGGAAGGTTTCTTCCAGAAAGTGCTCACACTGCCCCTCTCTTGGCTTTTGAGCAGGCGGCTCTGACTGGGTCCCCAGTGCTCGAAGCTGCCGCTGCTGTCCTGTTGCAGGCAGCCGCCCCCCGCCGGGCTGCCTGGGGACGGCGAAGGATGGCTGAAGAGTTTCCAGCGGAGTCGCAGGATGTGCTTCACATCGAAGTCTTTTCTCCCGGAGCCTGACATGGTTTATGCAAGAAAGGCAAAAGGATCGCAGCTGGCGCAGAAGTAGGCTGACTAGCAGACAGGAGAGGACAGCAAAACCTGGGGGCGGAGGAGGAGAAGGCGGGATGCGCCCCGTGCACCTCCGGAGCCAAACCAGTCCAAGCGGGATGCGTGTCCTGCCAAGACCGGAGAGCTGGCGGCAAAGCAGCTCAGCTCAGATCGGGTTCTGTGGTCCTGGGCGGGAGGGAACCACTGGTCGGACGCAGAGGCAGGAGTGGGATGGCAAGGGCTGAGAATCCGGGATATTCGCAGGGGGACCCAGTGGTTATGGCCAGGAGGAAAGACCCTGAGGCTGGAGATGCGCGAGAGAGGGAGGTCTGCGCGCTGGGAAGCTCGGGAGGTGGCCGCAGCTGGATACACCTCACTGGGGTACGCTCATGGCAGAGCCTTAGTCCTGAAGGTGCCGGTGCTCCTGTCCTTGCAGCTCAGAGTTCAGTGCCTGGAAAGCGCAAAGAGAGAAAGAGCTCCAAGTCGCCAAGAAGCGCACCCCCAGCCTTCGCTGTGCACCTGCGCCCCTGTCCCTGGCCTCTCTTGGAGAATGCTCTGATAGCTTGCTGGGTATCTATAAGAAAGTCAAATGCTTTCTTCAGTGCGAGAAGGTGTGATTTTTAGATAGTCAGTTTGTAAAAGAAAAAAAAATAAATATGCCAGAAAAATATAGGGAGGCAAAGGGAAAAGCCCGCCGTGAAGCTGTCAAGGTCCTCACAGTACAATTTTCTCTCTGCCTCAGCGCCTCCTCCTCCCTCGTAAGTGACGCAGATGTGCACTGGGGCCTATACCGAGAGATGGAGGGAGGGAGGGAAGGCTTCAATCTTCTTTATGCAAGTGAGTCTGCTGCTCTTATTGTCCCCTTGCGTAGGTCCTGTCACCTTTTTTTTTTCAACCTCCTTCCTCACTACATTACTGTGTAGCAATAAAAGTAAAGCAAACAGGCATTATGCTTTAACATCAGTAAACACCACACACGAAGGACGGCAGTGCAAACTTAATAGGCTGCCATTGGTGTGCAGGTTGCAGGTTAATAGCTTGAATTATTTAATATACCGCATCTTTTAACCTTTAGCCTTAATTTCTCTGTAGTGAGATATAGAAGAAATGTGGATACTGGTGTCTAAGTGTGATGATGCCACCATCCTGACACTTACATTGTCATTCTGCTATTACTGCACCCGGGCAGTACTTCACCCTGGGGACCAAAGGCGCACGGTAGATATTTGAAGATGGACTGAATACAGGGACCCGTTTGGCAAAATCAACACATTTGGTGGGTATCTTCTGGATGAACGTCATTCTCAGTTGGAAAACAAGAATAGAATATAATAATAAAAGACAGTTTTAAGACAGAAGCTTCTGGTACCTGAATTATGGTATAAAATGCATGGGAGAGGTTAAGCAATCCACAATTATAGCCAAAGGATACAATCCTGTAAGTGTTTGCAGAAAGGAAGATGTAGTTTTTCTTCATTAGTGTATTTTACAACAATGAGGATTGTGATTCTTTTCTACATATGAATTCTTGGAAATTTCTCATCTTTTTTTTTAATGAGGCTTTAAAATAGAAACACTTTTGCTGAAGTGGACACCAGGGAAGCAATGTGTTCACCAACTCAACCAGGAATATGGTTGCTGTCCATTCTTGAAATCCATAGCTACAGCAACTCCAGTAGGGCAGAAGAACCAAACATTAAACTGTGGTTTACATGACTGTTCTGTTACCCCATTGTCGACCAGTAAACTTAAACAGAAACCCAAGCTGAATGTGAAGTCCTTCTCAGATAAAGTTAATAAAACAAGAAATTAAGTGTATAAAAGTCCTACTTTCAAGGGACGAAAAATCTCTATTGTGCATTTTAAATATTGATTTATGCCACAGCAGCTGGACTGCAATCCCCTGTGCCTTGATTTTTCTTTCAGTATTCAGTGTTGGAAAAAAAAAAAAAAACCTTTAAAGCAAACAATGGTGACAGATCATTTTTATCCAAGAATGAAAACAAGTAAGTATTTCCCTTAGGAAAGGAAGTAAGTATATGAAATTACACATCATAAAGAGAACAGAAAAAACTTTCCATCAAAGATAATGCGGAAATTTGAAGTTGATATAATTAAATGATTTCTATAGAAATTGGTGCTTCATGGATTTTCTAACTTGATTTTTTTTAAAAGTATTGACAAAGTTACTTGTAATAATTTCCTGAACAAATATATTTTTATTAACTAATATCTATATCATTTAAATATTGTAGTATAAAATCCATGCA